TGGCAATCATGGTCTTTGCCCATAGAGAGGAGTTGTTATGAAAGTGTCTCCACGCAAGGCCCGAGTGAATAGCTTTATTCTTAAACACAGCCTTTTGTATTCCCTAACCCTCCCTGGTTTTTAGGCTTGGCAACAGTGTCCCAGCCTACTAAGTGTATTTTTTTTTGTTGGGTGTTGTACCCGATATGAAGTTCCTCTGAATTTTATCAATTTCTTTTGTGGTTTTTTAGGGGAGCTTGATAAATTACATGACATGATCAGGGAGGCTTTTGCTAGGGTAGTTCTCCCAGTCATGTTTAGAAAGCTTATTTTCCATCTAGCCAGCTTTGAGTGCATGTTGTCAATGACGAATTGGAAGTCACTATTAACTGACCTTTAATGAAAGATGGGGAATTCCGGATATTTGCCAAAGGTAGATGCGGATTGGATGGATAAGATGGCAGAGTTAGCTTCCATATGGTGGAGTTGGCAGTTGGCAGAGAAGAAGACTCTTGACTTTGTGAGGTTAAGTTTTTGGCCCGAAGCCTGATTAAAAGAGTTTAAAGTATTGATGATTGTGAAGCAATTTTTTGGGTCAGCTCTAGCAAATAATGTTAGGTCATCAGCAAAGAACATATGAGAGATCTTTGGTCCAGACCTGCTGATGCTGATTGGGCACCACTCCTTAGTCTGAACAGCTTCGTCAATTAGCCTAGAAAGTCTTTCCATACATATGATGAACATATAATGGGATAGAGGATCTCCTTGTCTTATGCCTCTTGATGGTTTGAAATGAGGGGTTTGATCCCCATTAACTAGAATTGAGATGGGGGAGGAGCTTACACAGGACAAGATGAGGTTGATAATGTCAGTGGGGAAGTTGAAATCATGGAGAGTGTCCCTGATAAAAGGACCACTCAATCCTATCAAAAGCCTTTTTCAGGTCAATCTTTAGGATCATGTGAGGTTTCTTGCCTCTCATTTTTCAAAGTGGGTGATGTATTCCTGGACAATAATAACATTATCAGAAGCTCTCCTGTTAGACAGGAAACTGGCTTGACTGGGAGAAGATTGCTCTTTTGATCTCACTGTCTCTGAAGGGTAGAGCCAGATTGGTCGTTTGAATTGTGGATAGTGTATGATTCTGTGAGTTTGAATTAGAGGTAAGGATGGGAGACTGGGTGTGTGAAGAGATGTAGAGAGCATTGAAGAATCTGATAATGGATTCTTTGATTTCATGGGGCTCATGTTGCCAGTTACCAACCTCATCTTTGAGCGAGAGGGTCCTATTTCTCCTCCTTCTATTTAGAGTAGAAGTGTGAAAAATCTGGTATTGGCATCACCATCAGAGAGCTAGTTAATTCTGGATTTCAACTTCCAGAAATCCTCTTCATTTTTTAGGATTGAGTCTAATTCCTCGATTAAGGTGTTTTCTAAATTCAGGAGGAATTGACTAAACTGGTAGTTTGGAGATTTTTGGATACCAGCAATCCTGGCCAACGGTCCCTTCTTTTTGTGGAATATGCTGCCAAAGGGGTGTTTGTTCCAATTGGTGACATTAGTTTTGAACCTTTGGGATGAGGGAAGTAAGGTGGAGTTTGGTGGGAAGGAGTCCTGAATGAGGCTAGTGAAAGCAGGGTGATTGCACCACATGAACTCAAATATGAAAGGCCTTGCATTAATATTTCGGGGGCCATTTTTTTAACTTAACTAGAAGGGGACAGTGATCAGAGTGGGTCCTAGGTAAGTGGGTTACAGATGCTTCAGGAAATTCATTAATCCAGCAGTTATTAGCAAAACACCTATCAATTCTTTCTAGGATTAGGTTTGTCTTATTCCTATATCTCTTGTTTGTCTAGGTGTATTTACTACCTTTGTAGCCCAGGTCCACTAATCTACACTGGTTAATGCAGTTCCAGAATAAGTTGCTTCTGCTTGTGTTAATACACTTTTTACCAAACTTGTCTCTTGCTTTTAAAACTTCATTAAAATTCCCACCCACAAACCAACTACCATTTATCTTATTTAAATTATCTATCAGATTTTCCCAAAGTATTTTCCTATCCTCTAGATAATTACTTGCATAAATAGCGGAAAATAACCAAGGGGGTTAGAGGGTAGTACCTTGACCATTGCATGGATATCTTGAGGGTGTGACTGATACCTCATCCACCCGGAGGATATTTTCTTTCCACATGATGACGATGCTTCCAGAGTGACCCACGATCACTATGGGACTGTTAGCTTCTTGTAGTATGCCATCTTTGTCTCGAGCAGCACCAACATAGCCGGCTTGTGAAATTTGATCATCTTTGAGCAGTGTCTCCTAAACTCCACATTGTTTGCCCCTCTAACATTCTATATAATAAAGTTCATTAGAGGGTTGTGGTTTGTTTGGGGAGCCACTGCCGGTGCCTTTTCCTTCCCCTGGGTAGGCATCATTTCCTTCCTCCTTGCTATTGGTATATGTGATCTCATCACCGGAGTCAATGGTAGCAGTGGTTTCAGCACTCCCTGGCTCTGATGAGAACCCATGCTCAATCCACATCTGGCAAGTGTTTTGGGGCAGAGTAGTATTAGGGTCTCGTTGTAGCTTTCTCGTGTTCATCAAAGTAGTTGCATATCAAATATGATGGTACAACTGATTTTTAGTTGTTTTTTCCTGTTTGCACTTCCTCTGTTCCTACTTCTTGAGGCCCATGATTAAGACTTTAGGCTTCATGGTTCCATATTAATTTTCACATTTTTTTCTTATTGTAGGCAGCGTCTGAATTGAGGCAGGTCTTTTGCAAGGAGATCCAGAGAGTTGGGATTGAAGGAGCTAAAATGATACGACATCTCGGAGACAAAGTAGAAAAGATGGAGAAACTTAGCCCCGGGAACCTTCTTGAAGAAGTTCATGAGGCTGCTGAGGATCTACAAATGTTGATTGACCAAAAATCTTATCTTTTGGTTCATGTGGAGAATTGGGAAAATGCAAATCGACCTAAACAGTTTAAAGATCCTGAACATCTTCAGGAACTAAAGGACAACGAACCTAAACGCTTGGCGGTTAACTCCCTTAGTGAAGCAACTCTCAATTTAAGGTCTGCTCATACATTGAAATACCTGGATACTCGGAATCCAAATGCAAGTATGAATATTTCTGCTTCACAATTATGTTCCTCTGGGAATGTGTTCAATCAGATGGTGTGGCCTTCACGACTTTCAATTCTTGGAGATGTGATTATAAATGAACGTGAAGTACGTACATATGAAAGTGCAAGTGCATTGTCGTTGGCGACTTTTACTTCCTTGTTAATTGAGTTTGTTGCAAGACTTCAAAATCTTGTAAATGCATTTCAAGAACTTAGTGAGAAGGCAAAATTTAAGGAACCTGTAGATGCAGAGGAGGCAACTAATTTCTAGAGCTGATTGCTTAACTTCTCATGCTTCAAGGATGAAGGATTAAGTCAATTTTTTTCCTAACGCTAGTCATGAAGATGCTATTAGGCAACAACTCACTTAGATAAATATATACTCGGAATGAAAATTTTCTACGAAGCTGAAGGTACGTTTTACCTAGGAGATGATAACAAAGTAGTAAGATATCTATGAGAAGTCAAGGAAATGGATTTTTAGTTCTGCAGCAAGAGGAGGAATTGCAGTGTTTGAGATCACATAAAACTGACTTGCTCAACTGAAAAAATGAATTTGGGTTGATATGATTATAGTTGTAATTCTGTAAGACAGGATTTTGTAACCTCTTTTTTCAGATGGCAAGGGGAAGAGTTGTTTCACAAATATTTTATGTCCAGTTGGGATAATATTTTGTATCTGGTTAAAGCTGTAAGGCTCTAATGGATTTTAGCGAACATTATCTGGAAAATGAAGCGTTGTTATACATGAAATGCAGATATAGTTATTTGTCTTGTAATGGTTTCACATTGAATTGATTATCTGATATTCACCAGATGATTAGCGTCCTTTTTGGAATTGGAACATCTTAGAGATCCTCAGAGTAACATAAGCAAAAATAATCTGTTTTGCTTTCCAGAATTCCGAGACTCAATTGTTGCCTTATTGACCAAAGGAGGAACCTAGTTGCTCGATATCTCAGCACATAATTGAAAATCTGCTGCTGTTGGTTAGGCTGGAGTCCATCATTCTGGTTGCTTTATTTTTTGTTTGTTTTTTCCTTTCCATTTCTTTGTTTTGTTATTATTTTTTTTTGTAGGGGATTGGGGAGTCCAAATCTGCATAAAAGCACATAAACAGACCTTAAAACTTGGCCTCAGCTAGTAAGTATGCCCTCCAACTTTGGGTTTGCACGAGTAGGAACCTCAACTTGTATAAAGTTGAACACGTAAACACAAATGCTGACATGACACATAAATTTTGGAGGTGTCTAGATGATCATTTTGTAAGTTGGAGCATTCAATTGGCAAAGTGGAGACAAGTAGAGGTGCCTACTTATGCACACCTAAAGTTGGAGGGCGTACTTGCCAGCCGATGCCAAGTTTGGGGGCATGTTTATGTATTATTCCCTGCATAAAATTAGCTCGACTCGCTAAACTACAAGGACAAATTACCAATCGAGCGTATGGAAAGCAAAAAGATGGTAACAAGAGTAATTTAAACAGCAACTTGCGAAGTACTAGTGTTGTTGAGAAAATTCTGAAAAAGAATGATGGGTTTTAAGTAAAAGACTAATTGAGTTTATACCAAACTAGTAAATGCAAAAAATATATTTTCCGTACACTCATTTATTATTTACTAGTAATAGTTAAGTATTATGCATTCTCACTAGAATTTTTAAATATTAAGATTAAATTATTTAATTTAGTATAAATATGGGATAAGAAAAAAATATTTATTGTGATTCTAATAATATAAAACAAAAAGAAATAAGTTACCAAACATAAATACTCCACATTATTCTTTTTGGAGTTTGGACTAGGTACGCAGCGTTTTTATCGCGGAGAAAATTTATTAACAAATCAATGTTTGCTTATTAATCTTTTATCACATTTCATAATTGAACCGATATGAATTAATGTAAACATGGGTGCTAAAAAAAGGGTACACCTATGAAATCCAGAGCATGGGATTAAGCAAAGTGTGGTCGAAGCGATGTGGTCTTGTGTCTTTCCAGGAACGGCAAGTGGTGGTGCTGCTTCCCAACGCTTCTTGCTTTCTCCTCGCAGCACTGCACATTTCACTTATTTCCTCCCATCACTACAACAACTTGAAGGAAAAAGGAGCAATTTCAAGACTTTCCCTTTATCGCATTTCTCAATCAAATGTTCATCCCCGACTCAGGGATCTACTGCAGACGATAGCTTTTTCCAAGAAAACAAAGAATCAAATGTAACTACTCTCTCTCTCACACACACAGACATCCCTTTTTCCTCTATATTCTGATATAATTTTTTTCTTTTTGTGTGATAAGAACCAAGAAAGCAAAGGGTTTTGGAAGAAATGGAAGGTAAAGAACACCCATCTCCTATTTTGGTGAAAATCACTTTGGCATTTGGTTAATTGACTGGGTGTTTGTTTATCAGGAAAACTCAGCGGAGATGAGCGCAAAGTTAGCGAAGCTGGGGCTTGCAGCTGTTCTGGCTTATGGTCTGTTTGATGGTGTCACATACACTAGCTTCTTTGTGCTTGCATTCTTGGGCTATGAGAAGAGTACTGGGAATAATCCTACTGCAAATCTCCAAGCCCTCTTGGGGGTAAGTAATGCTTAGCTACTGATGTTAGTATACCTTATATGAGGTTCCGCAAATCTTAGTAGTCCTGTTGGTTCGGGAAATCTTGGCCGAACCAATAACTCGTTTTAGTTAATGAGTTCGCAATTAAGTATTTATACATATTTATTGGATTTCCTAATACACTTACAGGGTCTAAGTAAAACCTATTAGGTTCATCCGAACTCGTACATAATACTCTATCTTCGCTACTGATTGGCTACCTTAACTTTGACCTTGTTGGTGAGGGTTGTAGGTGTAGAATGTGCCATTATATCTTTCTGGCAAAGGTTTTGAGCTAAAAGTAGTGGATGCATCCGCACCCGATACATTGGCCTGTGGCCACTAGGTCTGAGACACTGGTTTTCATATATGTTAAAAAGCATGGTATGAATGACCTTTGGAAAAGGTAGCTTTAATTTTGGCCTGAAGAAACGGAATGGCCAATTAATAAAAGGAAGAGATGGCCTTAGTTTTTGCTTAAAGGAATGGAGAAATGATTTCCTACCCTTTTTGGTGCAAAGGTTAAAGGGGCTGACCTTATTTTTGACCTAAAGAAAAGGAAGATTCATGACAGCATCATGAAATGCAATAGCAAATTTGTGTTGTTCACATTTTGGATACGGAATGAATGCTTATAAATTAGCATCCTCATTTATAGTAAAGTATCCACTTCAAGTAAAGGATGTAGCATGCCAAATTGTCTTTTCATTGAGCAGCTACTATTGACCTACCATTTATGATTTACCAAATTCGAAAGTTTTGCAGCTTACTTCCCAGTTTGATGTGTGCTATTTCAATTTCCCACTTGTGCATTTTCATTTCTCCTTTGCTCAAAACACACTCTTCATAATGGCAGATTATAATAGCGATGTGGGCGGGAAATAATGTGACTAGGCCATTTAGGGTAGCAGGAGCAGCTGCTTTGGCACCTGCCATTGACAAAGGACTAAGAAGAATCCAAAAATACTTCAACTTTCCAACTCTTGTATATGCTTTTGCTTTAGTAGTGGGTATAGTTGCTGGAGCATGTTTCACCATTATTGGTTTACTCATCCTCTCAAGATGGGGAAAGTTAAATTTAGCTGGATATTTCGTTGTCATCGGTCAATGGTTACTTGTATCATTGAGATAGTTTTGACGCTATCTTTTTTCGTTTATACCGTCTTGTTTCCTCATCATCTCTATCTATATAGAAAGTAGTATACTCATTCCACTTTTAGCTCTTTATACTTCTCTTTTAATTTTTGCTCGTCGAGAATGGTAAGTACTCTCAAATAGCTTTTCTTATTTGTTTATGTTTTGCGGTGCCTGCTTGTGAAAAGTTGGAAACATATCTTCAAGGTATTAGCTAAAGGCCGGTTGATGGCATTAGATTTTAGTTTCTTTGTAAAAAGTAATGCCCAAGAGGTTGATGACAAGAGTGGGTTGCTCTAGTGGTAAGCACCTTTCACTTCCAACCAAGAGGTTGTGAGTTCGAGTCACCCCAAGAACAAGGTGGGGAGTTCTTGGAGGGAAAGAGCTGAGGGTCTATCGGAAACAGCCTCTCTACCCAGGGTAGGGGTAAGGTCTGCGTACACACTACCCTCCCCAGACTCCACTAGTGGGATTATACTGGGTTGTTGTTGTTGTAAAAAGTAATGCCCAAAATGAAAGGTTAACTGAACCACACAATTTCCTGCAATATTCATGTCTATTGTTTCATTTACATTACAGGAATTGCTTTCCTTCTTTTACCTACTTTGTTAATTTTCTGAAGTAAACCTTGTAAATAAATTCTAACTTGAAGACCCAACCTAGTCTTTGTCTCAGAGTTCCTTCTGTATTAGATTTACATTAGTAGAATTTGCTGGCAGTATTCAGAATACATAAATAAGTGCATTCATTCAAATGGGTTTTCTAAACGTATTAACAGGATTTAAGTTCTTTATATCTAGTTGAAGTTTTGCAGAGGAGTTATATATCCCATGGCAGATGTCAGATATCATACATAGGCAAGCTAACCAGACAAAGCCTATACCATGTGATGTCCAACACTGCTATACAGAGACAAACAAAGTACCTATATCCTAACCATGCTTACTTTCGATCCATAATCAAATCTTTTTCTTGATTAAGGCATGGTTATCTGTACCTCAAAACACACCTTAGAAAAGGAAATTGTAGTTCCATTGAATGAAAGGAAATAACAATCTGAGTATGAAAAGAATACTAGACGACTACAGAAGAAAAATGGCTGATCGAGGAATTATTGATTCTAAACTTTCTATCACTACACCCTTTTCAACCATCTCAAATAGCACACTAGCCATAAGAGAAAACAACAACACCAAGCCTAGTAATTTTCCACAAGTGGGGTTTAGGGAGGGTATGATGTACGCAACCTTACCCCTACCTTGGAAGGGCAGAGAGGTTGTTTCCGACAGACCTCGGCTGGAGAACGGATGAAAAAAGTAATGGCAACAAGTAGGAATAACAACAAGATAAAAATAAGATCGAAGCCAAGAAAGCAGTGAAACTCTAGGTATAGCAATCTATGAATAAAAGTATATCGTACTAACACTAATGCTAGCAAACTGAGTAAGACAAAGAGAAACGCTCGACTACCTACTAGCCTTCTACCCTAATCTTCGATCTCCACACCCTTCTATCTAGGGCCATGTCCTCAGTCAGCTTTAGCTGCGCCATGTCCGGCCTGATTACCTCTCCCCAAGACTTCTTAGGCCTACCTCTACCCTTCCTAATACCCACTAAGGCTAACCTCTCGCACATTCTAACTGGGGCTTCTATGCTTCTCCTCTTAACATGCCAGAACCATCTCAATCTCGCCTCCCGCATCTTATCCTCCATAGGGGCCACTCAGTGGCGGATCCAGAATTTTCATCAAGGGGTGTCAAAATTTAAATAATTAGATACATCGAAAAGTCAAGGGAATTCAACGTATAGTAAATATACATAAAATAAAAAAAATTATCTAGCAAAATAGTGTAATTTTCCGGCGAAGGGATGTCGCTTGACACCCCTTGCTTCAATGTAGCTCCGCCACTGGGGCCACTCCAACCTTATCACGAATAACTTCATATATTCCTAATCTTATCTAACCTGGTATGCCCACACATCCACCTTAACATCCTCATTTAAGCTACTTTTATCTTCTAGACATGAGAGTCTTTGACTGGCCAACACTCTGCTCCATATAGCATAGTTGGTCTAACTACTACCTACTAGCCATAAGAGAAAGAGGTGTCGACTACGGCCACTTATCCACTGAGCTGTCCGAAAGAAGCAAGCAAAGAATTAGTTCGCCGGTGCTACCAAAAAGTCCCATGCTTATGTTACTGTTATTATTGATTGTTTGATTATCTTGTACCACGAGGACCCCAGTTGTGCTTCTGCTAGTCGATGACCTGATTTTGGAAGCAGTCGTCTTCCTTTCTATTCCTCGGTA